AAAAACCAGCCATGGCAGGTCTTGTAGATCTCCCTAATCCCTTAGTCTCTTAAAAAAAGTGATGCTAAATACTTTGGTTCTGTAAATGTTAGCAGCCCTCTCCCCCTCTCTAAAGAAACCTTACGACTGCATTGAAGAGTCTGTATCACTTGAGCTAAAGGTACTTTGAAAAATCGAGGGAGGCCAGCGATGCGTAATCTAAATGGGGAAGTATGAGCACAGCCAAGAGCATCTTCTTTCTCGGCCAAGACGATGAGCTCCCCTAACAAAAGGCACCTTTGCCACAGTATCATTAGCAATTATTAGTGGTACAGTTTAGTGCTCAAGCGTTCAATGCAATAAAAGCCTTGACAAAATATATGCTTAATCTTGAAAAAATCAAAACACAGTCCATGATATTTAGTCTAACAATCTACAGCACTAATATTTGTATTAAATTAAAAGTAGATAGAGGTAAGCCAGAACCTAACATAGGCCTAAATCGCATGATCCAGGAGAATGATTTAAAGAAGTCACGCAGCCCTTTTCATATACTATAAACTTTTTTCTTACTTGCGATGTTTAACAGAAACTAGTAGTTGCCATCTAATGAGAGGTAGGTGGTGCTATCAAGCGCCCAGTTTGAAATTGGAGCTGCGCGCGATGAAACACTTCTAGAGGATTCTTGAAGGCCACCCATTTACCACATACACAGATCACCGTCCTCTGATCTACACTTTCCGGCAACGCTCAGACAAGGCTTTACCAAGGCAAGTTCTATGCCTCGAGTTCATTTCTCGTTTCAACACAATACTGAAACACGCTCAATGCAGGGGGAACGTTGTTGCAGATACACTGTCACGTACTTGCCAGTCAGGGAACGGGATCCCCATGGATACCATCGGTGCACCGGAAAATATGCCAAACACCTGCAAACCCTACGGCTCAACACAAAGCCACTCCGGACATCGCCACTGTCTCCTTGCCCAGCAAGGTCAGCGCAACCATCATTGCCGCAGCTCAAGCGACAGATGTGGAACTCCACGACCTTCGTGACAACTTCAGTCTCCAACTACAGCAATTAATCCTAGACGGACACCCGGTTTGGTGCAACATCGCGTACAACGTACTCAGACCGTACCTAACATGCCAACTTCGCCGAACAGCCTTTGAGGTAACGCATAACCTTTCCCACGCAGGTATCAAATCTACCACTCGCAACGTAGCTCAAAAATACGTCTGGCTGGGTATGCGGAAAGAGGTCTCGTCATGGGCCAAAAGCTGCACAGCGTGTCAAACCTCCAAGGTGAGCCAACACAACTAATCAGCTCTCGGCTGTTTTGCGGAACCAGAAAACAGATTTAAATACATCCACGTTAACCCGGTCAAGATGCCTGCAGTGTCCGGAATGCAGCATTGCCTTACTATCATCGCCCGATTTTGGCGCTGGCCAATGGCAATCCCGATTCCCAATATACAAGCCAACATAGTGGCACAAGCGATGTCGCATTGGATTAGTGAACACGGTACCCCGATTTTCATAACTTTAGATAGAGGGGAACAGCTCGAGTCCAAACTTTTCCAAGAGCTGGCCAAGATGCTCGGCGTAATACACGTTAAAACTACCTCATACCACCCATAATCTAACGGTATGATCGAACGCTTTTACCATTCTTTTAAAGCTGCTCTAAAATGTTCAACACTCACATAGATTGACGCTCTACCAACGGTTCTCCTCGGCCTAAGAATAGCATACAAGGAGGATTTAAAATCGTTGCCAGCAGGAATGATTTATGGAACTTCGCTACGAGTCCCAGGAGATTTTTTTATCACAACGACTTCTGCAGCGAACAGCTCCACCTTCGTCAAAGGCCTGCGACAACTTTTTAAAATACTAAAGCCCGTTCCAGCGGCACATCATACGCCACGGTACCCTTTTGTATTCAAGGAGCTTCCAACTTGCTTACACGTATTTAAACGTTCCGACAAAATTAAAAAGCCATTGGAGCCGCCGTACACGGGTCCACACCATGTCATCTCTAGGAATGACGACAAAACATATACAATCGAAATCAACGGCAAGCCCCAAGTAGTATCAACGGATCAACTCAAGCCAGCACACCTCGAGGCAGCCGAGATTAATGAATCAAATGAAACGAGCTCGCCAACACTAAATCCAAGCACCGAACAATCCCAAACACACTCCTCATCAGCACCAAGCCAACGCTCTATCACGTTCGCTGACCTCCCCAGGTCACTCACTGGGAGGGGAGTAGATGTGGCGGCTCAGCCATGCGCACAAGCTTCACGCCCAAATTGCAAGCAGCATATCATTCCTCGCGCGATTTTCTAGTCGTGGCGCTTCAAGCCAACCCGGCCAATCAGCGCGAACCCAGCCGACCAATCATTGTGCCGCCATAGCTGTGGGACACAGTGATTTTGATTAATCCATTTTTAATGAGAGTAAATTAATGAATAACCTTATTTCTAAAAAAAACTTCATGATGGTTGATAAGGTCTTCAAACTCAAAGAGAAGTGATTATTAGATACTATTAAAGTAACCGAACTGACGAAGCCTAAAAAGAAACAACAATGTAATTTTAAAGACTTTCAGAAAACTTCTAATATTGTATTTGCAAAGGTGCAAATTGAACGATTGATTTAGAGTATTAAAATTTCCAAAATTTGCCAAAGCAGAATCCAGTGGAATATACTACCTCTTATAGATAATGCTTTATAGTAATGTGTGGTAATTTTTATATAAGAGCTTCGATTTTGAACGATAAAAGATTTTTGTAACCATATTTCATAAACAAAAGTAATTGTTAGCCAAAAATTAATAAACAATGTTTTACATATATTTCTTTGTAAACTTTATTAATCCAATATATTTAACACTTATAACTTTTCACAATCTGAAATTTGGCTCATACTACGAGTATCACGAGATCTTTAAATCAAATGTAAATGTTAAAACTACTATACTTATATTATAGGAACAGTAAATGACTAGGTCGTATAAGCGCACATCCGTAATAAAGATGCCAAGCATTATTTGGCAAAAGTATGTATGGTTGCGCTTAAAACGGTTTTGTCCTGTTTTCTCCAACGTATTTAAGGTATAAGATCCGTCGTCACCAACATATCAAACTTTTCTTGAATTAAAAGCATGTTGTACATTAAATTATCTCACGTTATCAAAAATTTTTTAAAGTTAGGATATCGGAAATAGTTTTGGAGATATTTAACTTCACAGTGCCTTTTTGAACATCGGTGAAACGGGTTATACTAATAACAGCTTTGAAGACATACGTAAAAAATCGAACTATTAAAAAAAAAATAGTGTATAAATCTTGAAAATTTTTACTTTATTTTGGTCTTTTTTAATTATGGTTTAAAAGTACTAAATAAAAATCAGTTTAATGATTAATATTTATCCCGTTACAAAAGCATACGGCTATAATCTGTAAAACTGTCACAATACGGTAAATGACGTACTTCACTCGCTTAGTTAACTCGGTCCATGGATTTTCTTCCTTAAGTTTTTCCAAACAATCAGTAGCAGCTAATAATTTTCTAATGATTTGACTATTAATAAGCCGGTCTCCTGGAATATTACCATCAAGCAAAAAACCTACTCATGAGAGAGTAGGACTCATTTTAAACTCAATCTTGAAACTTTTCGCTTTGTTCGTTTTTTTCTACAAAGCAATCACGTAACTTTCTGCCCTTAAACCTTGACGAGTGTTGACATTGCCTTTGAATGCTGAGTAAATATATCTTAAAATTTTTTTATCCCAATTGACATATTTGTTTTGAGACATTGCTGTTGAAAACCGATAGGCAGTACTTTCTGTCATTTTTTTATTCACTGCTTCAGAATGTATACCATTATATAATGGTATTCATACACAGAGTAACAGCTTTTGATGCTGTTACAGAAACATCTTTTTTTAAGTAACGCTGCATATTTAAGGGCAAGTTATTAAAATACGCTTCAAACTCTATACAATTATAATACAATAAGTAAAATTAGAAACATGGTCCAGATAAATGACTGATTTCCTAGTTGATTAGATCTGTAATTGATTTTTGAAAACTTTTGCCAAAAAGTTCTATTCCTTTTATTGCAATTTCGTTTGAAGTTATATTTCCATGAACTCTCTTTCTGTTAACGTTTACAGTGCACATTGGCAAATCTGAAAAAAAAATTATAAAATAAGACTTGAAAAATAAAAAATGTAAGAGACAATCAATGATAACTGCTATGAGTTAGTAAAGGTAGAAAATTATGATCATGTTTATCATGAACTCTTTTTTTTTTTTTTTTTTTTTTTTTATACTAGATGACAAAAATCTAACAAAAAAATTGGTTTGTACATATCTACAGCACAAGTTTTTAGTATTCCCCACTGTTGCTGGAAATTGGTACAGCTTCGACTTTCTAGCCCACTTTTATTTGTTAAAAAAAAAACTATTGGGCCAGTTAACAAAAAAAAGAAATATTTATAAGTACTTGGATTTTAGAAGATAACCTATTTTAAAACAAGAACTGCAACGCCATGCTAGCTGTTCGCTTTATTACAGTAACAAATATTTTGGTACAGCTTTGGTTTTATTGATTAGTTGAGTAGGAGATAAAGTTATGCGATACAGATCGAATACGTAACCAACACACTGCACACCAATATATCTTCGCCCACACACACGTGTCTAAAAATCTATACACGCCTCCCGCTTCTGCCGGTAGTGTCCCTTTTCCATGGCTGGAGGCACGAATTACAAACAATCCATCCACCTCATTACTGAAATGATCTTAATCTCCACCCACCGTGTCTGGCTCGGTTGAGCCTGAATCAGCTTAATCATCAGCCATGGGGGGGTTTGTGGGCAGGAGGCAGAGTTGGCGTATGGGGCAAACGTATTTACCAGTACTGGTTCAAACGGTGGCGGCTCTGACGAGTCTATCAGACCTGGGGTGGACCTGGGTGATTCGGCCAAGCAGCCACAACCCGCTGGACTAGAGGAGGGTGGGATTAAATACTGCGACGACGTCGTTGATCTGGAAATTTCGCCAAAGGACCTTCCATTTGGGCCGTTGTTGGAGTGTGTTTAGGTACTCGTGGCTCCAGCGAGTCCAAAATTTGACTCTGATGCCGCGTACAAGCTCCCAATGCGTGAGGCAATCGAGATTCTGAGTCGTAGAGCTGGAGTCGATGATAGAGGCTAGAGATCCGTTGACTAGAAAATGTCCAGGGGTGAGAGCCTTCAGATCGTCCGGGCCTCCTGTGAACGGTGTGAGCGGACGGCTGTTGAGAACGGCTTCGATGCTAGTTAGGACAGTGGAAAACTTCTCGTAGGTGAGATTGCGAGGTCCGATGGTGCGGTGGAGATGGCTTTTCATAGCCTTGACGTTAGCTTTCCAAAGTTCTCCGAAGTGTGGGGCTCTAGGGTGGATAAATCTCCAAGATATTCCTTGATCGGCCAACAACCCAGCGATACTATCCCAGCGCAATTCAGCATCTTGGATGGCGTCATGAAGCTTGTGATTGGCAGCACGAAAACAGGTGGCACTCTCGCTTCAGATCTCGGTTGGCAGGCCTCGACGAGCACAAAATCTGGTAAGTGCTCCAAGAAAAAAGTCGGTTGATAGATCGCCCACAAGCTCCAGATAAATTACCTTTGAGGCCATGCAGACAAACACGGCAACGTAGCCCTTACTAGCGCGGAGGCCTCGTCCCTTGGCCGAGAATATGTTGAAGGGTCTGGCGTAGTCCACGCCAGTGCGTTCAAATGCACGAGCCGGAGTTATTCGAGCAGCTGGCAGTGGTGCCATATTTTAAGTGGCTGGCCACGCCTGCAAGTAAGTGCAGATGTGGCACCTTTTTAAGAAGCTCTTGATTCGGCACCGCCCGCTGATGATCCAGGCTTTACAAGCGACAAATACGCTGGTCAGCTGGGCTCCTCCATGCAAAGCTCTAACATGGGCCCAGAGTATCATCAGCTTAGTTAAAGGGCATCGGCCGTCCAAAATCGGCGGATGTCAATCGGCGAAGCAAAACGTAGAGTGCTGAAGTCGGCCACCCACCCAGAGCACATCGTTGGCAATAATTGGATTGAGGGTTAGCAGTGGTCTCTGGGCTGCAACGCAGTCTTCTGTTTGTAAACTCTCGATTTCCATGAAGAAAAACTCTCGCTGACCGAGACGGACGCAGGTGAAATAGGTGTCACGTAAATCGATGGCCCTCATTTCTGCGAGGACTGGTAAGGTGGCATCACGCTGAAGCTTGAATCGAACCCATTGACGCAATCGCATAAGAAAGCGCAGCAAGCGATGAAGGTCCGAAAATCGTTTCAAGATGTGTGTCTTGTCTAGCTAAGTGGCGCTGCACAGATAATCCGATGCATCAATAGGGTGGTGACTCAAGTCAGTGGTATTTGTGGTTCTGATCGGCCACGACGCTGGTGGAGACATCAACCATGTGGGACGCTCCCACCACAGGTGCTTGTGTCAGAGTGAAGGAAGATCAATTCCTCGAAATGCCACATCTGCAGAATTGGAGTCCGTGGTAACGTGTCTCCAGAAATGCGAGAGCAGCAACTTCTGAATGTGTACTACATAGTTGTTCACCAGCAAGTTATTGATGGGCTCGGAGGAGCGGATCCAATGAAGCACTATCTGTGAGTCACTCCAAGTGTGACAGTTCTCTTCGCTGATTCTGTACTCCTTGGCAGCTGTGGTGAGGAGTCTGGCAGTCAATAGTGCAGCGCGTAGTTCCAACTAAGGTATCGTCATCCACGTGGGTTGTGAGTTACTTGGCTGCAAGCTCTTGATCGAAGCTAGCTTTCTTCTCGATAATAGAATGCGCACGCAAATCCCATGGACTGCGTCTTCGACTCATAAATACACAACGGCTGCTATTGCTCAGCGACTGGTATCTGTGAGCGCGTGTAGCTGTAGCATGGCTGCGGGGTGGCTGCTGATCCAGTGGAGAATTATAAAGCCAGAAAAATCCTGCAGTTGATTGGAGAAGTCCCACCATCGTTGAGCTAGGGAGGCTGGCACGTTTTCATCCCAGTCTAGTTTTGCACGCCAGAGGTCTTGGATGATCATCTTTGCCACAAATACTGTGGGTGCGATCCATCCACAAGGATCAAAGAAGCTGGCGAGGGTGGTGAGTATAGAGCGCTTGGTGTGCTGAGATCGCATGGGAGGTGGGGTAAGGTGGAACCAGTCACTGAGTGGGTCCCAGCTGACCCCAAGCTCGCTGACAAACCTGTCCACATTGAGCTGTCACCAAGTTGGCCTCAGTCGAGAGTCCTCAGGAATATTGCACAGGAGGTCGGGTTCGTTGGACACCCACTTTTTTAGTGGAAAACATCCAGCGTTCATCAATCCGATTAACTGATTTCAACGAAGCCAGGCTGTCTCGACGTCATCGGCACCAGAGAGAATGTCGTCGATGTACCGATCATTCTTGATGATAGGCACAGCCTCGGGCCAGGCGTTTACTTTACCCTTGCACATCTGCAGAATCGTCCGTAATACCAGGTACGGAGCGCTCGCTTCGCCATAGGTCATGGTGAGTAACTGGAAATGCTCTGGTGTGCTAGAGTTGTCGGCGCTCCAAAGGATTCGCTGGAGGTTTACGTGTCGTTTGTTGACACGAATCGCGTCGAACACGACACGCAGTCTTTTGCACAATTTGCCAGTTTGCCAGATTCCATGGTAGACAGCTTAAGAATTGAGAACGAGAACTCATCTAAACTTACGGTGCGAGTGAATGCACAGCTCCTCGGTAGCTCAAGTGGTAGAGCAACTGTCTAGTAAACAGGAGGTTGTGTGTTCGATCCGCAGCCGGGGAGGATTTTTTCTCGTTCTTAAATATTTCTCCAAAGGAAAATTTCTTAAAAAAGAAATTACGTGGATTTGTATTATCAAGTATTTTCTATATCTTATATATTGAGAAAGGGCATGTATGGATGATAATAGAGAGTGCTTGTATGAAGAGTACCGCCATCTATGTATATGCACCTATTGATACAATGATTAAAGTGTATCGACGTTCGCTTGTATACCTATTGGACGTATTAAAATATGTTAATTTGTATTATCAAGTATTTTCTATATCTTATATATTGAGAAAGGGCATGTATGGATGATAATAGAGAGTGCTTGTATGAAGAGTACCGTCATCTATTCATATGCGCCTATTGATACAATGATTAAAATGTATCGACGTTCGCTTGTATACCTATTGGACGTATTAAATTCTTATTTACTGACAAGCATTAGAGTCACATGCCTACAATATCGAGCTTAGGTAAAAGACAGCTTAAGAATTGAGAACGAGAATTTATGTGAACTTACGGTGCGAGTGAATGCACAGCTTCTCGGTAGCTCAAGTAATAGAGCAACTGCCTAGTAAACAGGAGGTTGTGTGTTTGATCCGCACTCGGGAAGGGTAATAAAAATAGCAGTTGTTAGAACAATAGTGTTTTTCCTGTCACGATTTAACATAATTTGCTTTACCGGTAGTTAAAATATTTATAATGTTACAAAAATAATATGGAATTTTAGAAGAATCTTAGTCAACATGTTTTTATGCTGCTAGTAGTTGGAGAGGAAGTCGTCTCGTGGTACCCTAGGGAATCGTAAACTCTGTTACCCCTATTGGAGGCAGGTGTACGGACTCTCTCTCCAAGTCAAGAAAAGGGGGAGAGTTACTTTCCGTTTTCCTTTACATTTGGGAAAAAGTGTTAGCAATTAGCTAGATAAAAAATTAGACTATTGCAGTATGTTTATGGAATTATTACTGAGATGCGAAAGGGGTTACTTTGAAGATTATGAGCTTGTAAACTTGAATGGTAAAATTCGGGTAATCCCTTGAAGGTAACTAACGTTGTGTACCAGGTTTGTTATAGTTAATATGTAATGTAGTAGTTTGCTAGAGGTGTAGTGTGTACTGGTTGTTTGTGACGATTCTGGCTTTTACTCATGTTTTCGCGTATTTCTATATATTTGTTCTAAGCTATCTTAATGTTTAGATTTATGTTAAGCTAAACATATGTTTGCACTTAATGTTTTAGTTAAACTGTTCCCAGTTAAACTTTTGTATCTACGGTTGTAGAAAAATATTTTATTTTGCATTTCCGGTCAGCATAGGACAGCGTGCAAGTACATAAATCATCATTGTCCATTAGGTCTCAGTAACTTGCAGGTGATTCACCTCTTTTCAGATGCACGTTGGTCTTTGCACGAGTGCCTTCACAACAACATTTCTAGGAAATGAGCAGGGAAAAAGTTATTAGTAATTTTTTGTTTACCAACGTTACACTACTTTTCCAACAAATACATTTTTACTACCATTTCCGGAAACATTATTTGTTAACTAAAAGACTATGTAAAGCCGGCCTCTATTAAATCAAGTCAGTCATTCACTGGCAGACATTACGAGCAGAGTTGTTCGTCACACGGCTGGCAACCCCGGTGACCGACGACCCTATATCACCCTCTTGACTCTAAGCATTCAACCAGGAATCACTGATCCTTTCCCAGGTCTGTGCTGGGCGAACCTAACAGCTATGAAGGAAAAAAAACTTGAACTAATGAAAGTCTCCAACAAGCAAGTATCACGAACCAATCTCTACTAATCTCTCCACCTTAGATCATCAAAACAACTTAGTCTGCAAAAAAAAAGTGCTTCAGGCACAAACGTCTTTAACGTTATACCAGGAGACGTTGGAAAAGAGCACTACAACTAGCCCCAAAGCTTCAGACTTTGTAATTTTTCTCCCAATCAGTCTGGGTTTTTAACAGCAGGCCAGAGAAGATAGCCCTGAGGTATCCAGGCAGTCCCAATTGCTGTAAACTTTAGTCAAGAAGGAGTTTACTTAAGAAGCTCACCGGTCTTTTTAAGGGCAATTGGACGTCAAGCTACCTTGCCAAAAAATATATTAGAAATTAACAAAGTTGACAGAAAACAGCCTTTAGGGGACACAAAAGTCGTAACTATGCCAAAAGTCGCAAGAGGGTGAATTGTAGGGAGAACTTCAAATATATCTAATAAATACAATCTTAGGCATCAAGAAACTGACGCAGATTGAATTTTATGAGAAATTTTATGAGAAATGAAATTTATTGAGATTGGAACAACAGCGTTAAAATCAACAAAACAGAAAGAATCCATTACGTGAGAGATCAGCTTTTTATCTTACCCTTACAATCTCTTTAATCTTGAAAGATCTAAATTTAGATTTTTAAATAAGTAGAAAATGTATTTGTATTTTTGTGGCAATAAAAAATGTAGAGATTAAGCTCCAGGACTTTGTTGCTTTGGTAATAAAGTTGTGAGATAAGAGAAAAAAGATNTTTTACGAGCTCCCAAATATTTTTTTTTTATCGTGGTAGTTCAATCTGACAGTTTTTGTATGTCCCATAAACTGAGACTGACTAAGTGGGACCACCGGGCCATGCTGTTTTTTGATGTGCCATTAATTGTGACCTCATATTTTTCTCCATTATTTCAAATCAAATTATTGTTGCGATCTTATTTATACACTAAAATAAATTTTTTTTTGCTAGAACACATAATTTTACATTATAATACAAAAAATTTTCTAGTTATGTGTATTTTTCATCTTCAAATAGCTTATTTCACTTATAAGTTCGCTAAACCCTGTCTCACAATCGGGACATTTACCTTACTGTCCTCCCTGAAAGAACATATTGTTGTGAGCTCAACGTTCGTTAGCCAAGCGGAGTCTTGTCGCACACGAAGCACCCGGCCGTGCTGTGTCGTGGCTATGGCAGTCGCGTGACGTACGACGGCACGA